CGTGAGTTTGAGCCCCTCATCGGGCTCTGTGCTGGCAGCTCAGAGCCTGGAGCCTGCTTCGAATTCTGTGTCTCCCTCTCTCTCTGCTCCTCCCTGGCTCATGCTCTGTCTCTCTCTCCTTCAAAAATAAATAAAAACATTAAAAAAAAAAAAGATTTCTAAAACTTTGTCATTTTCTAGTTGCAAGTTTGTGTGTATCTCCCCGCGTCCCCACGCTGCCCCTGGTAAGTACTGTTCTACTCTCCGTGTCTACAAGCTTGGCTTTTTTTAGACTCCACATGTAAATAATATCATACAGTATTTGTTTTTCTCTGTCTGGCTTATCTCACTAGGTATAATGTCCTCAATAGCCATCCATGTAGTCACAAATGGCAGGACCTCCCTCCTTCCCACGGCTGAATAATGACACCATTTTCCTTATCTGCTCAGCCACTGACAGACGCTTATATGGTTTGCAGAGCTTGGCTATTGTGAAGATGGCTACAGTCGACATGGGAGTGCAGGGATCCTATTTTTGATATCTTGTTTTAATTTCCTTTGGATGGATACCCGGAGGTGAGATTGCTGGATCCCATGGTAGTTGTAATTTTTCATTTTTCATTTTTCATTTTTCATTTTTCATTTTTCATTGTACGGTTTTCCAGAGCGGCTCCGCCAATTTCCATTCTCACCGACAGCGCCCAAGGTTGTTCTGGGCACTCTTCTCCGAGTCCCTGATGACTCTTATCTCTCGTCTTCTTGAAAATAACCATGCTAACATAGGGGAAGTGCTATCTCCTCGTGGCTTTAACTTGCATTTCCCTGATAATCAGTGATGTTGAGCACCTTTTGGCGTACCTGTGGGCCATCTGGATGTCTTCTTTGGAGCACGACGCTTTTTTTTTTTTTTTACAGCCCAAGTAAGACTACAGAAGAGTAAGAACCCGCTCTCTTCCGGTGTTCCCCTTTCCCTTTCTCCGCTCTCCCATTCCACAGACACTGAGTCTACATGCTATCGTGAAACCCTGAAGCTGCCACTTCCTGGCCCATCCTCTTACCAGTGGCCCCTCAGTCATATCCCAAGTTCCATGTTGGGAACTCCATCCCAAGTTCCTCTCTGCCGTGAAAACTCATATTAATGCCTCTGCTTAAATGCCTCTCTTCAGGTTGGAGGAATACTACTTGCGCTGAAGGGGAGAGGTGGTTAGAGCCACTGGGGCTCAGAGCCCAAGGGGAGAGGTGGGCCTGGGTGCGAAGAGGGTACTCGGTGCGTCCAGCAAAAGCAGTGACATGAGTGCGTCTGCAGCCAGGGTGCTAGCTGCACTGATGGGAGGAGGAGTTGTTTTAAGCCCCAGTGGCTCTAACCACCTCTCCCCTTGGGCTCTAAACCCCATTGGCTCTGCCCACCTCTCCCCTTGAGCTCCGAGCCCCATTGCCTCCCCTGGTCTCAAGGACTCTGACATTACCCCTTGCTCTCTTGCATCATCAGTTGCTATCTACTAGATCATTCCCTTCAGCTTCCCAACATGCTCCAGTGTCTCCTGTCAAACGGGAGGAAAAACCTCCCACCCACTCCACTTACTGCCCGTTCTGTCTCCTTACCTGCACACCACAGCTTCTCCTCAATAACTGAGCTTTGTTGAGTGCTGGGTAAGTGCCAGCCCAGTCCCTCTCCACGGAGGGTAGAAACCCCTAGCCTCCCCCTCTGCAGTAGTTCTATTTGCTCCAAGTTGCCTCTCACTTGCCCAGGCCGGGGTGTCTGCCAGGCATTACAAACTGGTGGCACTGGGTCCCTCTGAACACCTACTGTCTCACTTCACTGGGTGCTCGCTGCACGGGGCTGACAAGCAGGTGGCTTCTTTGCTGCAGAAGAGACACATCAACATACACAGTAGGGCCTGTACTGACTAGACAGCTCTCCTCTGCTGGGAACGTTGGAATACCGTGGAGGAACCCTGCCCTCCCTGGCTTCTGGAAGTTCACTGAAGGCCAAGGGGTGTCAAAGCCCCTACAGCCCCTACCTGTCAAAGTCAGATCTTCCTTCTCTGCAATAAGTTCCTTTTTTTTTTTTTTTTTTTTTTTTGGCTTTACATTCCTCGGGAGATCCCCACAACTTGGCATTCAGCCTCCAGGACAGATGGCCTTCCTTCCAGCAAGCGTTTCTGGCTGACGGCGTATAAAAGATCCACATCACAAATAGCATCAGCTTCTATAGAAAGGGGGAGAAAGACCTAGCCAGGAGAGTCCTAAGGAGTGCGGGCGGCTCCTTCTTCCTCCCCCTGTGTGCTGTTTGTTCTCCCTCCTCCAGCCCCCTCAATCTGCAGCATCTATCCAGCTGCTGGGGTTCCTCCACCTTCCCCAAAGTACATGCCTTCCCACAAGCCTTACCCTCCCCCCAATCTTAACGCAACAGAAATCCATTGTCTTTCCTGCAACCCACCATAACCACACGGGCATGGAAAGTGCGAGCTTGCAAACAGATGCAAAGCCCAGAAATGCAGCGTTCACGCGCTGCGAGGTGTGGCCCGCCCTTCGAAGAGACAGTCGTGGGCAGGGAGCTTCGGCAAGACTCGGAGAGATGCTCTGGCCTTTCTGCTTACAGCCAACAGGCTGCTGGGTTTCGCGTGGTGCGGTGTCAAAGGAGAGTCAGACCTTGTGATCAAAGGAGAGTCAGACCGTAGCGGGGACTGAATGCTTAAAAGCCTCCGGGCGCGAGGCGATCACAAAAAGCCAGCAGAGTAAAGCGGGTTGGGTTTAGGAAAAACAACACGGGGCATGAAGGAAGGACAAGTTTCTCCTCAGCCTCCGAGTCCAGGATAATTGGGGTGACCGGGAGCGCGAGGTCTGCAGAGCGCAAAGTTAGCACCGCCGCCTGACGGCCTCCTGTCGTTGCCATGGAGGAAGGAAGGCGGAATGTTAGCTTTAAAGAAAAGCCAGAGGTCCGTACCTTTATGCAGGCTTCCCTGAATTTAAAACACTGGCAATTAAACAATACTGTTACTTATTTTTTATTTATTTCTTTTAAACGTCTATGTTAATTTTGAGAGAGAGGGCGGGCGCATGTGCGCCCGGAGGGGCAGAGAGGGGCGCAGAGGATCCAAAGCAGGCTCCACGCTGACAGCAGAGAGCCGGAGACAGGGCTCGAACTCACGACCTGCAAGGTGGTGATCTGAGCCTCAGTCGGACACCTCATCGACTGAGCCACCCAGGCACCCCAAAAATCGTCTTTAAATGAGCCAAATAAACCTAGCCATGGAGTAGGCCCCTGGGTCATGAGTTTGTGCCTTGCACAAGGGCCTCAGGTGTAGACTACAAGCCGTGTCACCCGCTAATTGCCAAGCTACATGCCCAAGTTTGAGACAACCTCAGCGAGAAGAAGGAAATCCGTTTCCTGCTTAGTCTGTCGAAAGGAAGGGCGCCTGTTTCCTAATTTGCACCAAGCGCCTGTATGTACCAGCAGAGCTTCTGAGCCACGGGGACTTTCAGTGATCAAACCAGAAGATTTACGTGTCGGGCGCCCTCTATGGGACTGTGCCCGGCCTCGGTCCGGGGTGTTCTGAGCATAGTTCTGTTTACATCTGTGCGGCTCTGCTGTTGAGAGTTACGTGAAAGTACTTTCACAATTTACAGTAAATCTCATGAAAGGAAAAAACAGGGTTTTATGAGATCGACAGAGGGGCGACCCGCTCTTGTTTGGTGAGAGGCAATGGGGAAACTGCATTCTGGGAAGAGAGAACAGGTGCATTGAGGCAGCCCACCCATCCTTGCTCTCGGAAGACAGCCTCCTCTGTAGACTAGCCTGGGGCTAGTAACTATATCTGCTTTTTCAATTTTCATTGGTAGCTACCAATGGTTGGCCCACACATCACATGTCTCTACTTAGCCTCTCGCCTGACGGATAGATGGTTTTAAGTAATCGTTCTCTATTTCCCCAACCAGCAACAAGGGGTAAAACATTTCAGACCACCCATTCTACCACCATGACATCTGTCGCCATGTTTGTGACTCTCTAGTGATTTTTTTCTTTTTTTT